AGGCAAGCCACTAGAATATAAACCGAGAGCAAAACCCCACTGCTTACTAGCCTGATGATGTTACCTAGTTTGGGTAATGAAATGTCTGCAAGAAAACAACCAAGCTCGCTATATATTAGCGAGCTAGCTATATATTAAGATATCAGACTAGAAACCAGGAGACTGGTTAAGACATCAAGCTGGAAACTAGGAGACTATCAATTGTAGCCCTGCCTTAGGCATGAAACTGGGTTAGGTGACTTAGGCTAGTCATTTTCACTCAGGCAGTCTCAACATTTCATACATTTTGTAACAGTAATTGTGCATATAGGGAAATCACCTAGTTTATATATTTTTGTTTTGTTTCATTTCATATAAATGTTTAACCGTCTGTTTCATTGTTGGTTTATTTATCTAATTCAACTAGCCTGATTCCTTATACTCACCTATACAATTTTTCCAGAATTAAAAGGGGACAGAAATGAAGGCAGGGTTCATTCAAAGGTTTGAAAAGGATTTTCCCTCCCTGGGACAGATGAGAAAGATGAAAGTACCTTGGATGCATAATCCATCTGGAGATGTCAAATAGCTTCCCTCTAATAGCAGTTTCAGTCTTCTTCTCTACCCAGCTACCATAACTCCCCAGTTCTGTCTTTTCTTTCTCTTCTTATCTTGATCTTCTTATCTTGATTATCATCTTGATCTCCCTCTTACTCCTTTAATGCCTACTGTAGTTTGTGTACCCTTTCTATTGTATACCCTTTGAAAATTCCAGTTTTAGTAATTCCTAATCTCCATGTTTAACTTCTAGGCCAGAATAAGAATGGTAATCGGCTATCTATTTGCCCAGCTGTGTCTGTGGACTCGTGGATTGCCTGGTGGATTGTTAGTGCTTGGAACAGCTAATGTGGATGAAAGGTGTTGATTTATTAAATATCTTTAATTGCTGGGAACAATAAAAAAACATTGATCTGTTTGGCTTTGGATATCAAATGGTACGGTTTCAAAAGGAAAAACTGTTTAGCACTCTGAAATATTTCTCTGTAAAATGTTTGAGCAGTTTAGCTTTTCCAAAAAACATTGCAGAAGCTCCTTAGATGTTATACTCTAGCATTGAGCATATGCATTTTTGGAGGAGTCTTTTTTGCTGCTGCCCGTTGTTTTTATCAGTTTTGTTAACTTGGTTCAGTATTTCAGTTTGTAGGGAACATAATTCTAACCTCACAACTTTGTGTGTATGTATGGTTTTCAAGGTGAAATTATAGACAAAATGTCAATTCTTAAAACATTTTGTATACATGTTTTATAATTGTCAACAGAAAGAAAGAGGGGGAGTTTCAAAGAGCAGGCAGCAGTGTGGAATCGAAAGTACATTCCATTCATATTTTCTTCAGAAACTGATTAGATGACTGAAGTTTCTGCTGCGCAAAAATCTAATTGGAGAGCATGATTGATGACTCTTGGCTATGGACATGTTTCATTGGATGATACAGCCAGAGGGGTGGGGGGAAAAGCAGGCTCAAGGGTGACAGTAAATTACATATCTCAGAGTCAGCTACGGCCAGGTTAATGCTGGCATGTTAACTTCTAATAAATCCTTTCAAGTTTTGGGAGTGTGGTCCAGGCTCATGATTTAATTGGAGTAACTTCCGGAATCCTGACACAAATGCTAAGATGAAAATTAAATGTGGCTTTGCTAGTGATTACGAATCACTCCTAGAACAAATCCCAGAGAATCCCAGAGAACAAATCCCTACTTCCCAGAGCTAGCTCTAGTATGTGACTGAGTCACTCTGAAAATGGTGAGATTCTTCTCATGTTTTCTGTAAAGTAACTAAGTACCTGTTAGATATTCTTTCTATGTAAATTTCAAAGAGAAAGAAAATGCTCACCATATAGAGAAGGAAGATAACTGGACATGTTAACTCTGGAGGTCTTTTCTCAACACTAATATAAACTATACTAAAAAGCAGTCTGAAAAATAGTAACCTTACATAAATTATAATTGACAGTTAAAAAGCTTACTGTGGATTATTTTATTGACTGGATATATTTCTGAATGACCTTCCCTCCCCCCCCGATTCATTCATACAGACTCAGGCTGTAATGGGAGGATAGAGAACAACTAAACTTCATCCCACTTAATAGAAGCATTATATCAAGTCTTCCTTTCTCAGTCTGCAGACTGTTTCTCAGAATTATTGGAGAAATGTATACAATTATAATTACACAACAACTTTGGGGAATGTTGGATATTGTCTTTAGAAAATAAATTAAAAATATTTCCTTCTTAGCCTTCGAGGATATTTTACAAAATATGACTGTTCCAGTGGTGACATCAACCCTATTGGTGGAATTAGCAAAATAGATTTGAAATGCTTTATGCAATATTGCATTGAGAATTTTCAGCTAACATCCCTCAAAAGGTAAGTAGAGAAATAATGAAGTTTATTCCAGTCTGTTCCAGTATAGAATGATCTAGAATCTTGATGCTTTCTTCCCCATTGATTCTCCTAGGATTACTGAATGCTTCAGAATTTGATCTTAACTCAGACTTGATAGAATTGCAACTAAATTCTGAATATGAATGAGTAATAGTTCCTTTAAAGTATGATTATATCAAGTACAGTTTTGCTAATAAGAAAGCTTTTTCATAATGACTTTCTTAACATTGGACGATTTTGTTAATACAAAGCAGTTAATACAAAGTTGTATGTAATAGTCTTGCACCCTTTCATTCTTCAACACAGTGACTAAATTAGTAGACCAGCAAAATACTGTGGACATAATATATTTAGATTTCAGCAAGGCATTCGACAAAGTAGACTACAACCTACTTCTTCGTAAGCTAGAAAAAAGTGGAATAGATAGCACCACCACCAGATGGACTCGCAACTGGCTGGCAAACTGTACTCAACGAGTAGTCCTTAATGGGTCTAAGTCTACATGGAGGGAAGGAAGCAGTGGGGTGCCACAAGGTTCCGTCTTAGGCCCAGTACTCTTCAATATCTTCATTAACGACCTAGATGAGGGAATAGAAGGGGAATTTACAAAATATGCAGATGATACTAAGCCGGCAGGAATAGCTAACACCCAAGAAGATAGGCTCAAGATCCAGATGGATCTTGACAGACTAGAACACTGGCCCGTATCTAACAATGAAATTCAATGTAGAGAAAAGTAAAAAAAAAAGTCCTACACTTAGGCAAGAAAAACCAAAAGTACACATATAGACTGGATGAAACCAGACTCAATAGCAGTAACTGTGAGAGGGATTTTGGAGTCTTAGTGGACAACCAGCTAAATATGAGCCAGCAGTGTGCAGCAGCAGCCAAAAATGCTAATGCAATCCTAAGTTGTATTAACAGAGGGATACAATCAAGATCAAGGGAAGTACTAATACCACTCTATAAAGCCTTAGTAAGACCACACCTAGAGTACTGCATCCAGTTTTGGTCACCACATTACAAAAAAGATGTTGAGATTCTAGAAAAAGTACAGAGAAGAGCAACTAGGATGATTAGGGACTGGAGACTAAGGCATATGAAGAACAGTTACAGGAACTGGGCTTGGCTAGTCTAGTGAAGAGAAGGACCAGGGAAGACATGATAGCAGTCTGCCAATATTTGAGGGGCTGCCACAGGGAGGAAGGGGTCAAGTTCTTTTCTAAAGTGCCCGTAAGCCAGACAAGGAATAATGGATGGAAACTGAACAAGGAGAGATTTAACCTGGAAATAAGGAGAAACTTTCTGACAGAACAATCAACCAATGGAACAGCTTGCCCTTGGAAGTTGTGGGAGCACCATCACTTAAGACTTTCAAGAAGAGATTGGCCTGCCATTTTTCAGAAATGGTGTAGGGTCTCCCGCTTGGGCGGGGGTTGGACTAGATGACCTACAAGGTCCCTTCCAACTCTGATTACCCTAGTCAGGTTGTTTGTTTCCTGATACAACTGTGCAGGCCACTTTCTTTCTATAAGTAGTAAGATAAGTAGTAAGATTTTAGATAATTGTCTTGCTGAAATATCGAGCCTCTTTTCAGCTTCATGTTCTTTACTGCCTGGGACATGAGTTCTGGGATATGTTGATATTTAACTAAATCCATTCTTCCTACTATCCACACAATTTTTCAAATGCCATTGTTTACACCCAACTCCAAATGATCACAGAGCCATTTTCAGGCTTCATGTTTGGTGGAAAGGTGATCTTTTCTTGAAACATTTCACCTTTCCCCCCCCCCATCCCTCCCTCTAAAAGTATATTCTATAGTTTTGTCTAATAGTTTCAGTTCATGAACTATTTCATGAACGTATTTTACTAGTTCATGAACGTATTTTGCTCAAAATAGTTCAGGCTTATCAATGTTTTCTTTTGCATACCTTAGGATTTCATGATGAAGTCAGGGAAAAGTCTCTGTATAAGAAACAGTTGTGTTCAATGGATAAATGCTGAATATTAGCTAAACTTTTTTTAGTCTTTGCAGGGATTTGTGAATTTTCTTGGCATATCTGACAAGTTTGGGGCAATGTTCCACAACCAGCGGAGAAAAAAAATGAAAAAATGAATCCAAAATAAGTTGGATATTTCAGCAAAACAACAGTCCAGAATATTACCTTTCAATCTACCATGAAGTATTTTCAAGTAAGAAAGATAAAGATTTTGGAACAGTGTTCATAAGTCCTCAAACTCTTGCTAAAGATCATCTTTTACTGACTTAGGAATTCAATGAAACGTACAGTTTGACCAAGAGTGCCCACATCTGTGCATTCATCTGTGTGTAGTCAGGCAATGTTGTGGTTGTACTTGAATAGAAATGTAGCATGAGACAGACAAATGATGTGGCCCTGCTTAACAATTGCTTTGGTTCAGATGAAACATGTTCATGGTAATCTATAGTAAGATATAGTAATCTATTACTATAATTTGATTCATTTCATTTTACTTGTACACAGTATTATATCAGCACCCCCAACAGCGGAGTTGGAGCCCCTGCAGAAAGGAAATGTTACTCAAATGGATGAGGTAAAAGTGCAGTGACTACTACCATCTTGTAAGCGCGCATTTTCAATTTGTAGCATCTTGTTCATGCAGTCTCTTCATCTTCATCAAAATTCAAGAAAATCTGACTTTTGTGATTTAGGCATCATATGGAACTCAGTATTCATTAGCCAATTGTGTATTTTTCCTATTAAGATATTTCTGCTGCAGACTCGCATGTCTTCTGTAATAGTACAGGTAGCCCTTGACTTATACTCAGTTGAGCCCAAAATTTCTGTTGCTAAGTGAGACATTTGTTAAGTGAGTTTTGCCCCATTCTACGACGTTTCTTGCCACAGATGTTAAGTAAATCTGGCTTCCCCATTGACTTAGATTGAACATTGTAAAAGGGGGTCACAGGACCCTGGGACACTGCAACCATTATAAATATGAGACAGTTGCCAAGTCTCTGAATTTTGATCACATGACCATGGGGATTCTCGATGGTCAGGTGAAAAACAGTAATAAGTCACTTTTTTCAGTGCTGTTGTAACTTCAAACAGTCACTAAATGAACTATTGTAAATCGAGGACTATATGTATAAGTTACAATGGGCATATAAAGGCTATTGAAGAACTTAGAATCTAGATTGCCAAAGATCTACCAGAGCTTCACTATTCCTAATTAGCAAGATACTTTCTAGTAACACCCCCTTTCACAAAAAATAAGGAATTTTATTGATAGTAGTTAGAAATCTGCGCACACCAGACCACTCCAAAACTGCTTCTGAATTATAATGAATGACAGTAAGACAGAGTTGCAGGGTTTAATATAATGAAGTGATATGATTATTGCATTGTATTTTAATCAAGTAAAATATTTTCCCCACATTCAGAGAAATCTAGATTAACTTTAGTTCCAGTTCAATGATGGGTGGCTCTTGAATGTATGATATTTATATTCATCTGGTTTCTCTTTTTCTTTTCTTTTTGCGCTGCATATGAAATGTTAGGTGGACATGGGTATGACGTATGCCGAACTCTCAGTCTATGGTAAACTAAGGAAGATAGCTAAGGCCGGACCTTATACCATGTTCTGTAAAGTGGTCACAATGTGGAAAGAGATATGTTCTCCAAGAGAGGTAAACAATGAATTTCCCTGATGCATCTACACAAGCATCACTAAGCCATGCTGTGATTATACACTGGAAAGGTCAAAATAGAAATTTGAATTTGGCAAATCATGACTTGATGATAATAGTTTTCCGGTTATGACTGCTTCAATTATTGACTATTCTTAATCAGTAAGTGCTACAGTTTCGTTCAGGAGAATTCCAGGTTTCAATGTGTGTCTTGGGGAAGCCGTTTTGGCTTCAACACTCCTGTTGATAATGCTGAAAGCAATCAGTAAGATTGGCCATGGTTAAATGTAGGATTGCAACAGTTGAATCTTAGTTATAGACTAATTATATATTATGTTTCTACTGAGTGATGGTGGGTATTGGTTTTTTGGTTTTTTTGAGTTCCTGAAATACTACATTTTGTTCACCAGGTGGCATCAAAAGTTAAGCATTTCTTTCAGATGTATTCAATCAACCGACATAAAATGACTACCCTTACTCCATCCTATCACGCTGCCAACTACAGTCCTGATGACAATCGCTTTGATCTGAGACCTTTCCTTTACAATTCTGCTTGGTCCTGGCAGTTCAGGTGTATAGATGAACAAGTAAGGATTAATCTTGTTATGTTCTGTGCCATCTGTGTTTGGAGGTGTATGCAGGCATAGGATTTAACGTTTTAGCTGACTGCTTGAATGTAAAGCCTTCCATCTGGTTGAGGCTGGGTTGGGTGGACAATTTGTGATCCGTGGGTACTCTCAAACATCATAGTTGAGCTAGTTGAATCTAGCTTCCTATGCACATATAGTTAGTAGCATAATATTTAATACTATTTAGGCTCTGATTTGATATTTATATAGAATAGAATATAATTCTTTGTTGGTCAAGTGTGATTGGACACACAAGAAATTATCTTTGGTGCATAAGGTCTCAGTGTACTTACAAGCAATAAGTGATGAATCATGATCATAATCATAAAAGACAATCATCATAAATCATAAGATATAACCTCGGTGATTGTCATAGGATACTAAATAAGTAAACAACACAAATCAAAATAGGATACTAAATAAAGGCAATCAACATAAATCATGACATACAAACAACAAAGTTATAGTCATAAGAAGCTAAGGAAATAGGTAATAGGAAAGATGAAAACATGAGAAGGATAATAGAGGTGGTTTGACATCCTAATGCATAGGCAGTGTTGTGGGAATTAATTGTTTGCAGAGTGATGGCATGGGGTAAAAAACTGTCTTTCTGTGTGGTTGTTTTGTTGTGCAGTGCCTTATAGTGTCATCTTGAGGGAAGAAGTTGAAACAGTTTATGTCCAGGATATGAGGGGTCTGTAGATATTTTCACAGCCGTCTTTGTAGCTATTATTTTTTATTTTGCAAAGCCTTCTTTGTAGCTATAATATTGTAGCTATTGTAACAGGATAAACTTTTTTCAAAGTAAGCTTTTGAACAATGAGAATATGCTTTGTGATGGCAGATAAAGTTGTGCCTGCTGAAGCTTAGGATTCTCCCACAGTGATCATTCATGCATAGATGATTGCTTCTATACTTTTCATAGTATATTTTTTCATACTTGAATAAATGAAAGTTCACCTCAGCCAAGATAAAATATTAAACTTTGTGTATTTTCAAATGCCTGGGCAAATTTGAAGTGATTTATTATCCCCAGTGAAAGGGTAGGGCTGAAGTCCTGTTTGCATCATCACTTAGCTTTGAAGATGATGGAGACCATGGATATGATTTTATTGTAATCATGGAGGCATCAGATGTGGAAAAATCATGCATCCCTGGTCACGCGACTTTCATTCATACTAGCAATAACATAATGTTAACAAATATTTTTTTGCTGGACAGCAGAATATTAGCACCTCTACATATTCTACGCAGTAAATGCTAATTCTCTTATATACTTATATACCACTTTATCGTGCTTTATAGCCCTCTCTAAGTGTTCTGATCCATGCCCTTTCCCAACAAATCAAACACAATCCAAAAGGAACAGAAACCTTGTAATGCTTTTACAAAATAATTAGCTGTGATAAGCACAAGCCATGCCAAACTGTGCAAGACTTGCCAAAAGATAACAGACAAGAAATAATTTGCAATACAAGAATCTTCAAATACAAACTCAGGATACTGGAATGTCTACGAGGCTGGAGTTTCAAAACGTCTTTTCCTTCCGTAAAGTATATTCGTTTCACAGCTAGCTTTTATCTTCTTGAAGGAGGGGCCATTACCTTGCAGCCTTACTCCAGAGTCGCCTGTGCTGTTGTAACTGCTCTTTTCTATGAGAAATCCTGTGCGCACACGCACTTGGCACAGGCTCCTCCGGAACGTCCTCATCACTGCTGCCATCCCCCACAATCTCTGAAGGCAGCAGTCCACTCCCTAATAATCCTGGCCCTTCATCTGAGTCCTCGCTCTCCTCAGCCGTCCACACCTGCTGCCGGCTAACTACAACACTAAGTGGTTTACAGAGTCAGCATATTGCCCCCAACAGTTTGGGTCCTCATTTTACCCACCTTGGAAGGATGGAACGCTGAGTCAACCTTGAGCCTGGTGGGATTTGAACTGCCAAATTGTAGGTATCTGGCTGCAGAAGTAGCTTGCAGTACTGCACTCTAACCACTGCACCACAGAGGCTCATTATGGTCTGGGTGCTTAGATCATTACAACATCGCAGCATCCGGCAGTCACAGGATTTGCAACCTCCTTTGCCAGCTTCCAACAAACAAAATCAATGGGGAAGCCAGCATGAAGCCAGAAATAGTGACGATGTTATGCTGCACTTAACAACTCTGATTCCCTTTATGATGGTAACCAGAAGTGCTGGAACTTCTGTTGCTAAATGGCATGGTCATGTGACAACATGCTTTAAAACTGCATTGCTTAGCAATGGAAGTCCCACTTGCCACTGTTAATCAAGGACCACTTGTATTTCTAAAAAGGGAGAGGTGAGATGAACTATAGAAACACTGGTTTTCTACATATTGTATCACACAATGGCCTGATATTAAGTCTGAATCTTTTGTTAATTATGTTGATATGTTATTGTGATAATTATTTAATGATGCATATGTTTTTTTTCTTGGAAGCTCAGTTTTACTATGACTTTAGATTAATACCAATTGTGAAACGTTTCCTTCTCATTTTTGTTAGAACCTAAACTATATATGTAGTACACAAATGTGCGTTTAAGTATTCCCAACAGGTTCTGCTGCTTGTCAAAGCAAGGCGCAATTTGGAACAGAGAAGAGTTAAGCACTTGTTGAAATTAGTCCATCACAATCCACTTTTGCTTAGAAAACATAGCTGTAGTGATGGGATTCTGATAAAAATGTGCATGTAATATGGTGTTTTACTTAAAAAGATAACTGCTTTCTAATTTACAGGTTTCTAAACTAGAAGCTAAGCAAGCGATGGACTTGAAACTTCAGATCAAAGATTGAATTTGATTTCTCTGTCTTGCTGCTTCAAATCGATGATTTTTGCAGAATCATCTGTAAAATTGAATAATACAATCAAAGAATGAAGATTATTTAAATATTAATAGTGTTTGTCCTTTTAAGATAATCACTGCAAACAATGCAATTGTTACAATTTTAAAATCAAAGCTGTTAATCTAGAACATTTTGAATAACCTTAATGTATTTGTCTCAAATTGTGATTTTTAGAAACTATATTCATTAAATCTAAAGATAAGCTGTTTTCTTGTCAGAAATTTTCTAAAATATATAAGCCAACAAAGTTCAACTGTATTTGATATTGGTTATATACTGTGTGTCACATCAGGATTCTTGCACTTACAAAGTGAGGAGTTTCCTTTGCTATTTTCTTTATGTATTTCTCAAGTTGCCTGATAGTTAAGAGCAAATCTTAGAAGTATCAAAGAGAGAGGAAAATCCAATCTTGTCTACACAGGCAGATAAATTCAGTACATGGACAGCCTCGTAAGCCAGTTGGTTAGATAATATAGCAATAGCACATAGACTTATATACCGCTTTACAGTGCTTTATGGCCCTCTCAAAGCGGTTTACAGTCAGCATATTGCCCCAACAATTTGGGTCCTAATTTTACCCACCTCGGAAGGATGGAAGGCTGAGTCAACCTTGAGCCTGATGGGATTCGATCTGCCAAATTGCAGTAGGAGTAGCTTGTAGTACTGCACTCTAACCACTGCTCCACTGAGGCTCTATGTTGTCATAATATGTTGTCAGCTGTCCCACAACTTTCATTTGGATATGTTCCTAGTTGAATGAGTATAAACTAATGCTTTAATAGGTAAACACAATTATAGAGACAACACACAGGAGTTCGTCACACATGGTCAACTGCTGAAAATGTAGTTGGTTTATGTACTCAAAAAGTAGGTCCCACTGGGACATTCTACTTGAAAAACATGCATTGGGTTGGCGTCTAAATTATATACATTGATTCTGTTGCTCTGTTGCAGGGTTTGCCAACCTTTTGTACCTCAAGAGACCACCAAACTCATAATTTTAAATCCTGTGGACCAGAGACCTTGGGAAAATCCCAAAAAAAGTCTGCAGGAAAATTCCCCGCCCTGTTTTCCTATCAATTGATCATTCTTTATTTGGGATTGCAGGATAGTGTCTCCATGTCTGTTCTCAGGGGGGGAGAGAGAGAGAGAGAGACACTTTTGACTTCATGCAAGGAAAGCAGCAGAAGCAGTAGAAGTCTTTTTTTCTCTCCCCCAAACTGCTAGAAATGAGTCTTTGTAAGACTTGTCGCACTGGAGCAGGATGCCTTGCAGGGTCCCAAAGACTCATTTCTGGCAGAGTTTGGGGGAGAGAAAGAAAGACTTTTGCTGCTTTTCTTGCATGTAGCCAAAAGCAGAAGAAAGAAGCAGAAAGAAGCAGCCTGGTGGCCAGGCGAGGCGTGCGGGCTAAGTGGGGCAAGTTCCCCCCCTCCCCCCTCCCCCCCCACTACCTCATGTTGTTCACAATGCAAATGATGCAAGCCTTGTATTCCCACAGGCCATGTGGGCAGTGCAGCCTTGTGTTCCCATGCAGCTTGGATTAATTGCTTTGGGGGTGACATTTCTCTGTGGACCACCAAAATTTTCTCATGGACCACCAGTAGTCCCCGGCCCACTGGTTGGCAACCACTGCTCTGCTGGGAATTTTAAGAACATGATTACAAGTAGTCCTTGACTTACAACAGTTCATTTAGCGTCCGTTCAAAATTACAAGATTGAAAAAAGTTACTTACAACTATTGCAGCATCTTCATGGTCACGTTATTAAAATTCAGATGCTTGGCAACTGACTCGTATTTATGATGGTTGCAGTGTCCCAGGGTCACGTGATCTCCATATACAACCCTCTGACAAGCAAAGTCAAAGGGGAAGCCAGATTTACTTAAACATGTATTACCAACTTAACTGCTGTGATTCACTTAACTGCGGCAAGAAAGGTCGTAAAATGGGGCAAAGTTCTCTTAACAAATGTCTCGCTTAGCAACATCAATTTTGGGCTCAGTTGTGGTCGTAAGTCAAGCACTACCTATATTTGGTGAGTCAGAAGTTTTAGATATTAGAACAATTAATATGACCAACACCAGTCGTAGCAGTTCAACTTTTTGTTTAAAAAAAATATTTGCTTCTCTAATGAACAGGCTGCATATAATTTTTTTCTTTTAACGTGAAGCAAAATCGGAAAAAGTCATTAACACTGGTCAATATGAAAATGGCTCCCTGCCACTTTATGGTGCAGTAAATTGTCTTTTTAGTGAATATAACTGGCTCTTCTACAATCTTACGTACATAAGATTGACAGTTCTCATTTGGACAGCAGATTAGAGGTCATAGTAGGAGTCATAGTAGGAAAAACATTTAAATGCAAATATAATCCTGTTTACATCAGAGCAATCTAATCAGGAATTTCTGGATTCTGCTTTTAGCATTGGCTGTGATAAGCTATGTGATAGCTAATAATCAAGTTCTTAGGTTTGGTGGATAACTTTTTAATATAAAATTCTGGGAGATTGCTATCTGCTACTGTGTTAGGTTGTGGTAAAATGTCGGTAACCACAACATTTTTAATCTGATTGATTTTTGATAGATGTTGCTCTATTTAGTGAACCCATCTGGTAGCTTAGTTTAGTCCCTAGAGATTTCTCTATCCGCCAGGAGAGCATCTGATCCGTTAATACACACTCTTGCTGTTCTCTCTGTGTTAACTCCCACTGCCTGATTTAGCCATGAAAATCAACAGCTTGGGTATATTATGGTCATGCCTTATGCTGCTGACACTAGTTGCAAAGCCAGTAACATCGAATTATTATTTTAAAAATGTATACTGTATGATAGGTCATGCCACTCATTCCTGAGGCAGCTTAGACATTAAAAATAGATATAATAGATACTAGTATTAAAACAAACATGTAAAATACAAAACATATAGAACTTTAAATTTTCTTTCGTATTTTAAGGTACAAGTATGGTTTTGCTGGTCTGATAATGAGATCAAAAGTACAAAAAACCCCACCCCATAATGAAATTATAAAACTAAACAAATTAAAAACAACAAAAAACCTTATTCCAATTAATTGTTGGAATAAGTGGGATGTTTATAAGAGATGTTAGATTTTTTTTAATTCATATCTTTATCATACAGAAATTGCCTTGTGTTTTCTGTATGTGTTGGTCATAGACTTTCATAACTTTTAAGTTGTGCTAAAAAGATACTACTTCATAAATATTTGAGGGGGTGTTCTTCCTCTTATGAGTTTTGTTGATTTGATTTCACTTGAAAATTATTAATTCTACAATAGTGTAATCCTATGCTGGTAGAGGTGACTTTTACTAACGTAGCGATCTTTGGTGGCATACATCTTCATGCTATTTATCAAAGCTTTGACATGTATCGATTAACCTGAGTATGAGTGAACACATCATCTACAATTTAGTTAACTGGTTAGGTTCAGTAATCACGGCAGCAATTTTGAGAATGCTCATGACATTCTCCCAAAATGCCAAGACTGTCCATTGACCAAAAATTATGGCACTATGACAGAAATGTTGTGCAATGCTTTGAATTTCCAGAACATGAACAGTATCACAAGTGTACAAATTAAGAAATAAACTATTTGGAAAAAAAATCTAAAAATATCAGCTGCAATTGATATTTTGTTTCTACTACATTTCAGTAAATTGCTATATAATAATTGTCCAAAAGTAGCTGGTAAACCCAATTCTCTGTATGTCTGTATAGAAAGACCCACTATGTTTGTTGTTCTTATTTCTTAGTAGGTAAATAGAAGATTGCAGCCTAAGCACAAGATAATTTAAACTGTTCTCAGGTCTGCTGATTTTTATGATGCAAGCTTATGGGCATATGACACATTGCAAAAGACCTTCAGGAATTTTGGATAGAAATCATAAAAATGAGGTTTCCCTAAATCAATATGGTAAATCACCCAATAGTTATGTGGACAGACATAAATATATTCACCTCTTATCTTGATTCTAATTATTCTCAAAGAAAAGAGTTTAGTTAGCACGTTTCTGCATATTCACTTGATTACCTTTCATTTTGCTTCTTTTGAATACTGAGCATTTAATCCTTCAGCCAGTTCTTTTGTTTGTTTTTTTAAGAACATTAGCTTTGGAGTCCCTGCAATGACTCCAAAACAATGTTTGAAATGGGATTTGTCAGTAGAGCATTTGGGAAAAAAAGAAAAGTAACAAAGATCATTTTGCTTCTCATGACAATGGGGTTCCTAAATGGATTGGAGAATCTTCATTGATGCTTCTAGATTTAGTCTTGCACTGTGTAATAATTTTGTCTCATCTATCCATGATAGAAAGCACAATGATATCCCTATTTTGGATTTTCCCTAGTTTTTCCTATGTTAAGAAATACAAAACTGAAGAGCTGCACAATTTTTTTGGGCTGGCAGCTCTTAAAGAGGGGGGGGGGACTAGCCTGAATCTGTAACGTTTGCATAATATGATTAGTCATGGTGAATCATGGTTTACTCAACTCAGTTTTCTGGTTTTGTATAATAGGTCAAATCATAAACTGATCACATTGGGCGAGTCTATATAATACAAAGCTAAAATGTAGTTAGTCTGTAGTGTAAGGTGCCACGTAAGTCTATGGCCATGTTTGTATGTACTTGCACAATTATTCTCTTTAATACAACCATGATTGTTTCTTCACTTGTGACTTCAAGATAAAGAGCGAACATTGATTTCTGTATGTTAGATTTGTTGCTTGCTATTATTTTGTACTAGAGAACTCTTTATCCTTTTTATCTGTCAAGATGATACCTACCAGCCTCTCAGTTCTCTCAGATAAAGCATCACCCCACTATTTACCAAAGGATTTTTCTTAAGCTAACAAATGTATAAGGATGTCCAAATCAAGACACACATAAATGACTTAGCCTTTAGCATTCTTTGCTGGTTTTGCTGTGAAAGACTAATCCAGCAGACTTCTCTAAAAGATTCACATAATCTCTACTATCATGTACTGATCTTTTACAACCCTTACAACCCTTGCTATTATA